AAGCCTGGAGAAGCTCCCAAACTCCTAATTTATTATGCAATAAGTGTATTCTTACAATGTATAAACTTCTAATGTATTATAAAAAAAAAAAAAATTGTCAACTGATTATTTAATTCATAATTCTGAAAATTCTAATGTATGCAAATTATAATTATGTGGGACCAGCTGCAGGAGACAAGCACAACACATTCACAAACACAGAGAAAACACACTGCAGCTCCAGCACTCTTCTGCCCTGCAGCATTCACAGCATTTCAAGAGGACTTTCAGCAGCAGACATGAGGAATGCAGTCAAAATAACAACCATCTCATCATTCATTTTATTCAACATCACTACAGCTGATATATACACAATATACAAACTACACAATCACTATATACATTTCAATCAAACCTCATAAATGCAATCTAACATTTTAAGAGTTTTAAATCCAGTTATTTTATTTGCAAACAGAAATATCTAATATATTTAAGTAGAGATATTCTCTCATATTTCTTCTGTGCAATTTTTCGAAATGTAATAATTTCAATCTGCTATGTTAAGACTACAGCTCAGATCAAATTATTTCATAAGAATAAGAAAACAGTTGAATAATTATTTCTAAATGTACATATATTTTTTTAATGTTTTTTCTTCTATTATAAACCACTGATTCATAAGCACAACATGAGATTTAAAATCATTGACTGAACTAGAAAAGTAACTATACATTCATATTCAAATGCCACTTTTTTCATGTATGATATCTACAATAAAATATGAAGTATTTATGAACACAGTGTAAAAATGAGTGAAACAAAAACAAACCTTTGATGAACTGATAAACTCATGGTGAGTAACATTATGGAAATGCGTTTAGACAAGATTTGTGTGTTCAATATGAATAATTCAGTTTTTAATGTGAGAAAAAAATTAAATTAAACATTTATAATGTATTTTTGGCTGTTTTATTTTATTTATTTTTTTATTAAATCATAATATGTTTATACAGGAGAATTAAAAAGACAGACTTACCGAGCACCAGTTTAGTTCCTCCACCGAATGTGCACCACAGTGCTACAATCTAATGAAACACTCGTACAAAAACCTCTCTTCCACTCGAGTGAACACAGACTCCAGCAGAGAGAGAAACAACACTTCAACAGACTGATAGAGAAACATCTCAGCTCTTCATGACACTCAGTCATTTAGTTTGACAAAATACTTTTCAAAAAGTAAGAACAAAACGTTTTCACACAAAATCCTTTCAAAATGTTTGTTATTGCTCGAAGAACAATAATTATTTTCATTATCAGTTGAAGAGTTTATTCCTCTCGTTTACAATAGACATGATTAAGTTTGACTTTATATTACCCTATCCACCTATTTTTTAAACAAGTAAGCTGTTTGCACTACAAACCAGTGTGTTCATAATTATGATAATACAATAAAATATGGTAAGACACATCAATTTGAAATATTAAGCAGCAAAGCAAGCTGTTTTGTACAGCTAAGACTATCTGGAAGCAGATGACAAACAGGGCCACACACAATCAAAACACGCACTGGCCCAGCTAACCAATCACAGCACACACTGGCCCAGCTAACCAATCACAGCACACACT